CAATCATACACCCCCACAGTGACCCTAAATCCATGTTTCGGGATTCAAACTCTAACGGTTCACCCACAATACAAATTGTACCAAATTTACTAAAATGTAGTACGAATTTCAAAAACTTCCATCTTAACCAAAACCAACACCCCCACAGTGATCCTAAATCCATGTTTCAGGATTCAAACTCTATCGGTTCACCCACAATACAAATTGTACCAAATTTAGTAAAATGTAGTACGAATTTAAAAAACTTCCAACTTAACCAAAACCAACACCCCCACAGTGATCCTAAATCCATTTTTCAGGATTCAAACTCTATCAGTTCACTCACAATTCAAATTGTACCAAATTTAGTACACAGTAGTAACAATTTCCAAAAAATTCTACATACCCCAATCCCACACTGATCCTAAATCCAGGTTTCAGGATTCCAACTCTATCGGTTCACCCACAATTTTAATTGTACCAAATTTAGTACACAGTAGTACGAATTTCTAAAACCTCCTTCTTACCACAAACCTACACCCCCATAGTGATCCTAAATCCAAGTTTCAGGATTCCAACTATATCATTTCACTCACAATTAAAATTGTACCAAATTTAGTACACAGTAGTACGAATTTCCAAAACTTCCTACAAACACCAATTCTACACCTCCACAGTGATCCTAAATCCAAATTTGAGGATTCCAACTCTATCGGTTTACCCACAATTCAAATTGTACCAAATTTAATACACAGTAGTACCAATTTTCAAAATTTCCTACATACCCCAATCCTACACCCCAACAATGATACTAAATTCAAGTTTTAGGATTCCAACTCTATCGGTTCACCCACAATTCAAATTGTACTAAATTTAGTACATAGTACCAATTTCCAAATTTTCCTACATACCCCAATCCTACACCTCCACAGTGTTCATAAACCAAAAGTTCAAGATTCCAACTCTTTCGGTTCACCCAAAAAATCAAGTCGTACTAATTTTAGTAAATAGTAGTACCAATTTGCAAATTCTCCTACATACCTCAATCATACACCTCCACAGTAATTCTAAATCAAAATTTCAGGATTCCAACTCTATCGCTTCACCCACAATTTAAATTGTACCAAATTTAGTACACTTAGTACAAATTTCTAAAACTTCCTACATACCCCAACCCTACACCCCCAAATCCAAGTTTCAGGATTCCAACTCTATCGGTTCACTCACAATTCAGATTGTACCAAATTTAGTACACATTAGTACAAATTTCTAAAACTTCCTACATATCTCAATCTTACACCTCAACAGTGATCCTGGCTCCAAATTTCAAGATTCTTGCTCTATTGGTTAATCTAAAATTCAAATTGTACCAAATGTAGTACCATCATTACCCCAATCCCATACCCCTACAGTGATCCTGACTCCAAATTTCATTGTTCCCGCTCTATAGGTTCACCCAAATCCAAACTGTACCAATTATAGTACGATTAAGTACAATCCTACACTCCGACGGTAATTTTAATTTTAAATTCCAGGATTCCAGCTCGATTTGTACCTCCAAATCAAATTTGTACCAAATATAGTACCATATTGTACTTTTCGTACACATGAGTACACACTTTCTAAACTCTCCTCATATCGACCCTAATTCTCAACCTTATTTGCATTCCAAATTTCAAGTTTTTAGCTCAATCCATTCACGAAATTGTACCAAATTTAGTATATTTCTGTACTTTTCCGATTCTTATAGTTCGAATTTCCAAAAAGTCCTTTGCTACATCTATTCTACACTCCATCAGTGACCCTCAATCCAAATTTCAGATTTCTAGCTCTACTGGTTCGCCAAATACAAATGATACCATATTTAGTACTTTTTAGTACTTTTCGTACGGTTCTAGTACGAATTTCCAAAAACCTAGTCTTATCTGTCACCTTTGGACCAAGAGTGACACTCACCCAAAATTCTAGCTTCAGCCATTTCGTCTGGGCGTTGATGAATCGTTAAATTAGTCAGTCAGTCAATCACTTTACTCTTTTGTTAGTATAGATTAAATTTGTACCAAATATAGTACCATATAGTACATTTCGTACACATGAGTAAGCGCATTCATAACCATCTCCTTAACTGGACCCTACATCTCAACCTTAATTCAGACTCCAAATTTAAAGTTTTTAACGCTATCCGTTCACATGCTACAGAATTGTACCAAATTTAGTACATTTTCGTACTTTTCGGATAGTTATACTTCGAATTTCCAAAAACCCTTTGGTACATCTATCCTACACTCCATCAACGACCACCAAACCAAATTTCAGAGTTCTAGCTCCACCGGTTCGCCAAATGCAAATGACATCACATTTAGTACTTTCGTACCGTTATGGTACGAATTTTCAAAAACCCAGCCTTTACTGTCACCGTTGGACCAAGGGTGACCCTCACCGAAAATTTCAAGATTCTAGCTTCAGCCGTTTCGTCTGGGCGTTGATGAATCGTTAAATCAGTCAGTCAATCACTTTACTCTTTTATTAGTATAGATGAGTACCTTTTAGTACGACCACCAAACCAAATTTCAGAGTTCTAGCTCCACCGGTTCGCCAAATGCAAATGGCATCACATTTAGTACTTTCGTACCGTTCTGGTACGAATTTCCAAAAACCCAGCCTTATCTGTCACATTTGGACCACCCAAAATTTCAAGATTCTAGCTTCAGCCGTTTCGTCTGGGCGTTGACGAATCGTTAAATTAGTCGGTCAGTCAATCACTTTACTCTTTTATTAGTATAGATTAGTACATATATTTTTTGTCATTTTGAATTTAAATATTAAAGATTAACAACCATATAATTATATTTATACAACAATTATTTTGGATTTAAATTTTCAAAAAAACAATTTTCGTATACCATTTTAGTAAAACATTTCAGGATAAATATTTACCCCATTGAGCTCGATAGGTTATAAATATATCCTTTAGTAAATAATATAGTGCACAGTGGCACTTGAATTGGGATGAACATACCAAATGTAATTTAAATTTGTATGGACTTCCTTATATTGTATTTTTTTTGACATTTTCGATTGCTACTTATTTAAATATATTTAAGTAAATCTGAAATATTATATAATATTATCTATTATTATACGATATAATGATATTATATCATAAATAAAAATGAAAACACTTAATGAATTTAAAAAATATGAAGATAATTAAACATAACAATATGTTTTAATCCACTATCTAAGGGGATAATGTAAGCTAAGGGTGAAGTCATTATAGGACTTGGGGGTATCTCACCATAGTGGAAGCCCAAAAAGGGGATTCATGTCGGAATCCATAGGGTGGGCGATGAAGGTATCCATTAACATCTGTCTTGAAAATAACGCAACAACGATTTCCTGTCTTTTGAATTTTATTTTATATTAGTAACTCAGATTTTTGTTGTCTCTGTTATGCACACCGCTGAGAGTGCAGACTGAGCAGAGCCGGAGCAAACATAAATACATCGATACCACTGTCATCTAGGTATAGTTAAACGATATCGATCTCTCGTCTTGAGAACGGGCATGCTTAGAAGGTGTTACAACAACTTGTATGTTTCTTTCTTGGCGTTTACACACAAACTATTGCTAATATTGATATTTACCCGGGTGGCACAAACTCCCGCACACAGATTCATTTTTTTGACTCAAATAGTCATTTAATTTATTTTATAAAAATTTGCTACATTTTTATTTAAAAATTATTTAAATTTTTGTAATTATATTCATTTGTTTTTCTCATTTTGGTATTGTAATTCAATCATATTATTTGCACCAAACGAGAACCGCCCTAATGCCCTTTTTGTTATTCCTCTTTGTGCGATGTACTTGAATTCGCCGCACAAAGAGAATAACACTTATTGTTGTTGTTTACACGCAACAGCAGTTGAACGATCTAACAAGAGGAATGTATGTACACACGCACATACATTTATTTACATATTCTTTTTCTCTGCCTCTGTCGATCGTTCTGCTGCTGTTCTATGAAAAAAAAATATTGTCCCGCTATCCTGGTTGGTATGCCAGAATATTAGAACAATAAAACATTAATATTTGAAACATTCAAAGAGAAAGACGTTTGTTTTTTGAAATTATTGGTGACGGGAAAAAAGCAAAAAATAAAGAAAAAATTTTACCCAACACACTAGTTGAGTGAAATAATTTCAAAGTGCAACATTTTAATAAAAAATATTAAATAAAGGAAAAATAATTAATATATCTTGCTCGTGAGCAAAGAATATGTTTTTCCTGAAACAAAATTATATTTTAACTGCCTCACACATTAAGGCAATTTGTGGAAAAAATAAATTAATATTAAAGTGGAAGGCCAACGAAGAGAGGAAATCTTTGCTGCTGACACAAACAACCTTTCCTGCTGTTGGAGAAACATTTATACAAAGGAAAACGCTTACTCTGAGGAAGATGGTTGAATCTTGGGACAAATATTGGAAATTGTTGCTGCCTCTGGAGGAAGACTTGGTTGCCTCTTGGACAAACCATATATATTGAGTGCCCCTTTGGAAAAAGTCAACATTACCCACGGAGTAAGTAAATTAACATACTCAAGCCGAACCCTTGAGTTAGGAGTTTGTTTAATTGCATATTGGACAAATTCCGGGGTTGTCAAAATAGGCAATCCTCAAACATTGGCGACCGTGACAGGACACTTGTGAAGCGTCCTCCTAACCTCCAAAAATTTGTGTTGTTGTATAACCAAGTGCATTTGGTTCCTTTTTGCCGCTTTCTCCGTCAGCCATATTTTACGCCATTTTGGAAGAAATTAGCGTCGTTTCTAATAAGCAATTTAACAACATTGCTGAAACCAAAAATTAGAGTGAGACAACATACTCTACATAAAGTCTTTCTCCATTTTGCTGGAATTTAAGAAAAAATTGTGCTCGCTTGCTCTTATTACGCAATATATTCGTGGTTACGAAATTTTTTACATACCCAAATTTTATTTGAATTAATTAATCAACATGATGAATGAACCAGCTCAAGTGTCCCAAAGGGAAACAACAATTGAAGAGCTGAAACAACAGCGTGGCTCATCAAAGGGTAGTATGACTCGGATCAAGAATATAATTGAATCCAATCCTTCTCTGTCTCATACAGAATTGGAATGCAGGTTAGGAATTATAGAGTCATACTATAAACAAGCTTCCTACTACCAAAATCAAATTGAACGATTGTCCCCTCAAGACACTGGTAGAGCTGAAATAGACGAGCTTTATGTCACCATCAAATCTCGAATTCTTACCCTCATCGGACAAGGCAGACGTCCAAGCATTGGTGACCAGTCCTTTATATTGCCTCAGGCGCCGTCCAATCGATTACCAAGCCTTAAATTACCCAAGTTTGATGGGAAATATTTGGAGTATAAGAATTTTATTAATACATTTAATAATTTGGTCCACAATGACCAAAATATATCCACTTCGGAAAAATTTAATCATTTGCTCTCGTGTCTCAGTGGGGAAGCTCTTGCCACAATAAAGGCATTCCAAGTAACCGACGAAAATTATCCGAGTGCTCTTAGGAGATTAAAAGAGAGGTACGACAACGACACATTGATTTTTCTGGAGAATGTTACAACAATGTTCGATCTTCCAAAATCAAATAAACCTGTCCCGAAGCAGTTACGAAATATTGTTGATACGATTTCTGCTCTTTATAGTTCATTAAAGTCCCTTGGCTCATATGAAAAAATTTGTGATGCATTCATAATTCATTTGGCTATGAGCAAGGTTGACTCGGAGACAAAACAACGATGGGATGAGTTCATAGATTATTCAAAATTGCCCTCTTGGGCTGAGTGTTGTTCCATGTTGGACAAGCGTTGTCAACAATTGGATGCTCAGTGCCGAAGATCAGGAAAACAATTTACCCCTAATACAGCAACAAATTACTCACATAGTAATCAAAAACAACATTCGTTTATAACAAAAAATGTGCCTCAAGATTTCGTTTGCACGCATTGCTCGAAATCGGGCCATATGATAACAACTTGCCAACGCTTTATTGTTTTAACTCCCAATCAACGGATTGATCAAGCTAAACAAAACAAACTTTGTCTCAACTGTTTAGCAAAAGGGCATGGTTACATACAATGTCCCTCAAAATATTCATGCAGATTTTGTAAACAACGTCATCATTCGCTTCTACATAAGCAAATCGAACAGGCATCTTGCTCTCAAGAAGAAGAACCATCACCTTCATCTGCTGCCACACATGGTACTTTCCAAAACAAACCTAGCCCTCAAGTGAGTAATGTAATCCTTGCTACAGCATTAGTATTGGTTCGTGACTCTGAGGGAAATTTTCAACTTGGACGAGCTCTACTTGACTCATGTTCCCAGGTGAATTTTATAAGCGAAGGTCTCTGTGGTATTCTGAACTTAAAGAAATGTCCAAATCACACCGATGTCTCAGGAGTTGGTTCTTCGAAATTAAAGGTCTCCTACAAAACACAAACTACAATTCGATCACGCCTTAATAACTTTAATTTATCATTGGAGTTTCTTGTCTCACGGAATATTACTGGCTATCACCCCGATGAAAACATTTCAATTAAGGATTTTAATTTGCCATCTAACATCGAGCTGGCCGATCCAGAGTTTCATCGTCGTCGAGGAATTGATATGCTACTTGGTGCCGAATCTTTCTTCCAACTTTTGTCTATTGGTCAGATAAAACTTGGAGAGAACTTGCCCACTTTACAAAAAACTCTTTTCGGTTGGATTGTCTCGGGGAAGTATACCAGTAATAAAAACAATACACAACAATCAACTTACTCTATTGTGAAAAGTGAGAATATTTTCCAAGAACTAAATAAAAATATGGAGATGCTATGGAAAATTGATGCGGTGGAAAATAAGCGTCAGAAAATGTCTCTGGAGCAGCAAAATTGCGAGCAGCATTTTTTGAAAAATGTCTCTGTTCAAAATGATGGACGTATTATGGTGAAGCTGCCCCTAAAGGGTGATCCAAATTGTCTTGGCGATTCCCGTGATATTGCCCTTCGACGCTTCTTTTCCATGGAGAGAAAATTAAACAAAAATCCAGACTTGAAAAATGAATACTCCAACTTTCTCAGGGAATATGAAGAAATGGGTCATATGTCTCAGGTGAATGAAGCCGAAGTTGGTTTCCCTAACTACTACATACCACATCACTGTGTTCTTCGACCAAACAGTGTCTCCACGAAATTGCGTGTTGTTTTTGACGCATCATGTCGTACTTCCTCTCAATTATCTCTGAATGAAATCATGATGGTGGGTCCAACAATCCAAAACAATTTATTAATCACCCTGCTTCGTTTCAGATGTCATCGCTATGGATTGACAGCTGATATTGTCAAAATGTATCGGCAGATTTTGGTCCACCCTGAGGATAGGAAACTCCAGTTGATTCTTTGGAGACATGACTCTACACAACCGGTAAAAACTTTTGCTCTTAATACCGTTACATACGGAACTGCCTCAGCACCATATTTGGCCATCAGAGCATTGAATTATGCTGCAGAACGTTTTCCCGAACCTTACGACGTTGGGAAGTCTGTGGTCACAAATGATTTTTATGTCGATGATATGGTGACTGGTGCTGACGATCTTGCCTCTTTACAACGCATCAAGAAGGAGGTATCGGAAATTTTAGATTACTCTAAGTTTTCACTTTCGAAATGGCATAGCAATTGCCCCGAATTAACTTCAATGGAAGATGGAGTCAAAGAAATGAAACTGGATGATGACGTCACTAGCACTTTGGGAATGACATGGCACTCAAACGATGATACATTCCACTTTGAGTTTCGGCCATCAAAAATGTATTCACATAATACTAAAAGAAATATTTTGTCTCTGACGTCAACCCTCTTTGACCCAATGGGCTTAATAAGCCCTCTCATAATAAAAGCCAAAATCTTACTCCAACATCTTTGGATTATAAAATGTGATTGGGATGAATCAGTACCCCAAGAAATTGACTCGGCTTGGAATAATATTATGGCGGATTATCATAATTTGTCGCAAATTAAAGTTCCTCGATACATTCGAATGCCGAATTATACCAATATTCAACTTCATGGTTTTGGAGATGCCTCAATGAAGGCATATGGTTGTTGCCTGTACTTTCGATGCGAAGACTCATTCGGCAACATATCTGTACATTTAATTGCATCAAAATCCAGAGTTGCACCTTTAAAAACAAGAACTCTGCCTCGTCTGGAATTATGTGCTGCCCATTTACTCGCTACGTTCTGGAGCCAATTGAAACTGTACTTTAAATTTCCTATTTCAAAAATATTTTTCTGGTCGGATTCTCAAATTACCCTTCATTGGATAAATTCGCACTCTTCGACTTTATCAACATTCGTGGGAAACCGAGTAGCAGAAATTCAAGAAATTTGCAATGATGTCTCTTGGAATTATGTCCCAACGGACCAGAATCCAGCCGATTTAGTATCTCGAGGTTGCTCTGTGGACGATTTGTTGAATTCAGCTTGGTTCCAGGGGCCTTCCTTTCTCACGAGCCCATTTTCCGATTGGCCAAATCGTTCCGGTCCAAATCTAAGCGAGTGTGAATTGCAATTGGAGAAACGCAAAACCACTTTGGCAGCAAAAATAGAAGGATTGCCCGATATGTTAAATATTGTCCATAAATTCAGTAGCTATTTAAAATGTCTCAGAATTTTCTCATACATTTTTCGTTTTCGTTCAAGGAAAATTCCGAAAGAGGTCACAATAACTCCAGATGAATTGAAACATTCTCTTCACAGAATTGTATGGCTAATTCAACAGCACTATTTCTCAGAGGAATTTATGGAACTCTCAAAACATGGCTCTGTTTCTGGTCAGCTATCATCTTTGGCTCCGTTTATAGAAGAAGTTGATGGAGTGCCGTTAATCCGTGTAGGTGGTCGGTTGTTGAATTCAAATTTGACTACAGATGCTAAATTTCCCTTGCTCCTACCAAAGAATGACCATTTTGTTAAAAATATGATAATTCATATTCATCGCACAAATTACCATGCTGGCCCAAGAGCATTGGTATCTCTGACTCAACAACAATTTTGGATTATCAATTGCCGATCTTTGGCAAGACAAGTGGTTCATAACTGCATACATTGCTCGAGGTACAAACCAAAATTGCTGACTCAAGTAATGGGCAACTTACCCAAGGATCGAGTAACTGGTTCTCGTCCATTTGAAGTAGTTGGAGTTGATTTCGCTGGCCCTATACCCACATACCTTAGGATCCGTGGAAAGGCACCATACAAATCCTATATAGCAGTATTTGTCTGCTTCTCTACAAAGGCTGTGCACTTGGAAGCTGTATCAGACTTGTCCAGCGATGCTTTCATAGCATCTCTCAAGCGTTTCGTTGGACGCAGAGGCATTCCGTCCAAAATATATTGTGATAATGCCACAAACTTTGTTGGCGCTGAAAAGAAGCTTAATGAATTCAATCATCATTTCCACCAAAAATCCAATATAACAGCCATTGCTGATTTTGCCTCAACAAAATTCATTGAATTTTCATTTATTCCTCCCAGAGCTCCTCATTTTGGCGGATTATGGGAAGCGGCCGTTAAATCAACAAAAGGTCACTTGCTCCGGACGCTACCTAATGCTCGACTGACCTTCGAAGAGTTATCCACAGCTCTGGTGGAAATTGAGGCAATTTTAAATTCGCGTCCGATTGGCTCTTTATCAACAGATCCCAATGACCTTGAAGCCCTTACTCCTGGGCATTTATTAATAGGCTGTCCCTTGCAAAGTATTCCAGAGAAGACAAATTTTGACTCGGAGATATCTCATTTGCAACACTGGCAGAGAATTTCGGGAATAAAGTCTCATTTTTGGCGCAGGTGGCACAACGAATATCTTGCTCAACTTCAAAATCGCTATCGTTGGCAAAAACCAAAACAAAATCTAAAGGTCAATGATTTGGTCATTGTTCATGAAGACAATGTTCCTCCGATGAAATGGGTTCTTGGTCGTGTCACACACATTGTCCCTGGGGCAGATGGAGTTGCTCGGGTAGCTGACGTGAAAACACCAACTTCAACATTTCGACGCCCAATCGCAAAATTAGCAGTCTTACCCCAAGTTGAAAATTTGATTGAAACCGGAGGTTTCAATGGGGCCCGGCATGTTAAATCCCTTTAATAATTCTTATTAAATTTATTTAATATTTTTTGACTCAAGGGCCATTTAATTTTGTTCATAAAATTATATATTTTTTATTTAAAAAATACTTAAATTAATGTAAATTCTATTAATTTATTTTGGTATTGCTTTTATATTATGTTGGCACCAAACGAGAGCCGCCCTAATGCCCTTTTTGTTATTCCTCTTTGTGCGATGTACGTGAATTCGCCGCACAAAGAGAATAACACTGTTTGTTGTTGTTTAAACGCAACAGCAGTTGAACGATCTAACAAGAGGATTGTATGTACACACGCACATACATTTATTTACATATTCTTTTTCTCTGCCTCTGTCGATCGTTCTGCTGCTGTTCTATGAAAAAAAAATATTGTCCCGCTATCCTGGTTGGTATGCCAGAATATTAGAACAATAAAACATTAATATTTGAAACATTCAAAGAGGAAAGACGTTTGTTTTATTGAATATTATTTGTGACGGGAAAAGGCAAAAATAAAGTAAAAATTTACCCAACACACTAGTTGAGTGAAATAATTGAAAGTGCAAATATTTAATAAAAAATATTTAAATAAACAAAAAATAATTATATATCTTGCTCGTGAGCAAAAATATAAGATTTTAACTGAAACAAAATTATATTGGAAATTTTGCCTTACTCATTAAGGCAATATGTGGAAAAGTATTAAAAAGCCAACGAAGAGAGGAAATCTTTGCTGCTGAACAAACAACTTCCCTGCTGTTGGAGAAATATTTATACAAAGGAAAACGCTTACTCTGAGGAAGATTGTTGAATATTGGGCCAAATATTGAAAATTATTGCTGCCTCGAGAGGAAGACTTGCTTGCGCCCTGGGACAAATCATACATAGTGAGTGCCCTTTGGAACAAATCAACATTACCCACGGAGTAAGTACAATTAACATACTCAAGCCGAACCCTTTGAGGAATTTCTTCAATAACATATTGGACAAATTCCGGGGTTGTCAAAATAGGCAATCCTCAAACAACGTGGATTTTTTTAAATAATTTTTTGGACGTGGATTTTTTTAAAATAATTTTTTCAAGGCGGATTTTTTTAAAATAATTTTTTCAAGATAGGGTGCTGAAATTTTGCATAGGTGTGTCTTTTGTCTGCAGGCAGGTCAAATTCGAAGATGGGATATATCGGTTCACGTTTAGGCATAGCTCCCATATAACAGTATCCTCCAAGTTTCGGTATTTTGCAGTTCTTGATCGCGTTTTGAAACCGAAATCGCTGAAATTTGGTACAATGAGTTCCTATCGGGTACTAAATGTCTCCACAAAAAATTATGAATAAAGGTCCACTTTTTCTGCTTGCCCCCCATATAACGGTACCTCCTAATTTTCAGTATTTTGGGAGTTTTGATCGTATTTCTCCATCGAATTGGCTGTAATTTAGTATTTTGAGTTCTTAATAGGTACCAAATCTCTCCACATAAAAAATTATGAATATAGGTCAATTTTTTTTGGATAGCTCCCATATAAGGGTACCCTCCAATGTTCGGTATTTTTTGGGGTTCATGAGTGCATTTTTTCTACCGAATTCGCTGCAATTTGGTATTTTGTAGTCGTATATGGTAACAAATCTCCCCACCAAAAATTATTCATATTCGCCCTCTTTTTGGTGTAGTCCCCATAAAACTCCCTTTTTATACCCTTCACCACACTGTGGTACACAGGGTATTATGTCTTTGTGCATATGTTGGTAACAGGCAAAAGGAAACGAGATAGACCCATGGTTCCTTTTTTAGAATATGCATAGAATCACTTTCTGAGTCGATTTATGCATGTCCATCCGTCCGTCCGTCTGTTGATTTAATTTAATTGTAAACAAAGTACAGGTCGCATTTATGATCCGATTTGAATGAAATTTGGCACAGCTCATTTGTTTGGCCCAAGGACGAACCCTATTGAAATTGGGAAAAATCGGTTCAGATTTAGATATAGCTCCCGTATATAACTTCGTCCGATTTAAGGTAAATGGGGCACCAAAGTCCCTAAATATCTTTCGATTTGCACGAAATTTGACACAGCATAATGAATTAGGTCCAGACTGATGTGTGCAAAGTTTCGTGAAAATTGGTTCAGATTTTGATATAGCTCCCATATATAATTTCGTCCGATTTAAGGTAAATGGGGCACAAAAGTCCCTATATATCTTTCACTTTGCACGAAATTTAGCATAGCGTAATGTATTAGGTCTAGAATGATGTGTGTTGAGTTTCGTGAAAATCGGTTCAGATTTATATATAGCTCCCATATATATTTTCGTCCGATTTGATGTAAATGGGGCAGAAAAGTCCCTATATATCTTTCGATTTGTACGAAATTTAGCATAGCGTAATGTAGTAGGTCTAGAATGATGTGTGTTAAGTTTCCTGAAAATCGGTCCAGATTTAGCTCCCATATATATTTTCGTCCGATTTAATGTAAATGGTGTACCAAAGTCCCCTATATATCTTTCGATTTGCACGAAAGTTGGCATAGCGAATTGAAATATGTCTAGAATGATGTGTGTTAAGTTTCTAGCAAATCGGTTCAGATTTAGATATAGCTCTCCTATATATTTTCGTCCGATTAAATGTAAATGGTGTACCAAAGTCCCTATATATATTTCGATTGATTCGAAAATTGGCATAGCGTAATTAATTGTGTCTACAGTGATGTATGTTAAGTTTCCTGAAAATCGGTTCAGATTTAGATATGGTTCTCATATATATTTTGGTCCGATTTTATGTAAATGGTCCACCAAAGTCCCTATATATCATTCGATTTTCACGAAATTTGGCATAGCGTAATGAATTAGGTCTACAGTGATGTATGTTAAGTTTCGTGACAATTGGTTCAGATTTAGATATAGCTCCCATATATATTTTCGTCCGATTTTATGTAAATGGTGTACCAAAGCCCCTAAATATCTTTCGATTTGCACGAAATTTGGCACAGCGTACTGAATTAAGGCTAAAAAGGCGTGTGCTAAGTTTCGTGAAAATTGGTCCAGATTTAGATATAGTAGCTCCCATATATATTTTCGTCCGATTTTATGTAAATGGTGTACCAAAATCCCTAAATACCTTTCGATTTGCACGAAATTTGGTATAGGGTACTGAATTAAGGCTCGAATGACGTGTGCTAAGTTTCGTGAAAACCGGTTCAGATTTAGTTATAGCTTCCATATATATTTTCATCCGATTTTAGGTAATTGGTGCACCAATGTCCCTGGAAATCTTTTCAGTTGCACGAATTTTGGCATAGCGTACTGAATTAAGTCTAGAATGATGGGTGCTAAGCTTCGTGAAAAGATCCACAGCTAGGCCGATTGACACAACGTACTGATGTAATATAAATTAGTCTCTGGCAAGTTTCCCTGAAATCGGTTCAGATATAGATTATGTAACAAAAACGCGTCGTCTTTTAGGATACATATGTACAATATACCCAAAGTGTTAAAGGGTATCATATAGTCGGCCCAGTCCGACTTTACTACTTTCCTTACTGGTTTAAATATTTTTTTTTGGGGCTTCAAGCAAGGCGTGGATTTTTTAAATATTTTTTTTCAAGGGTCCGAACAAGGCGTGGATTTCTTAAATCATTTTTTTCGAGGGTCCGAACAAGGCGTGGATTTTTTAAATATTTTTTTTTCGAGGGTCCGAACAAGGCGTGGATTTTTTAAATATTTTTTTTTCAAGGGTCTTTCCAGGGTGGGGATTTTTTTTAATAATTTTTTTCAAGAGTCCGAACAAGACGTGGATTTTTGCAATAATTTTTTTTGGCTTCAAACAAGGCGTGGATTTTTTAAATAATTTTTTTCAAGGGTCCGAATAAGGCGTGGATTTTTTAAATAATTTTTTTTTCAAAAGTCCGAACAAGGCGTGGATTTTTTAAATAATTTTTTTTCAAGGGTCCGAACAAGGCGTGGATTTTTTAAATAATTTTTTTCAGGGGTCCAAACAAGGCGTGGGTTTTTTAAATAATTTTTTTCAAGGGTTCGAACAAGGCGTGGATATTTTTTTTTAGGGTCTTTCTAGGATGGGGATTTTTTAAATATTTTTTTAGGGTCTTTCTAGGGTGGGGATTTTTTAAATATTTTTTTTTTTTTTTGGATTTAAAAAAAAAAAATATTTTTTCTTTGTTACCCAAGAATGAAAGAGGAGGAAGAGAACAATAAAGTTGACCGCAAGCCCCATAACAATGAGAACAATGCCTTGTTGCCATTTGTTCTTTGTAATGTGACTGTGGCCGTTGCCGTTTGGGCCAAGTATTGTTAACCGAGAGAGAGAGAGAGAGAGAGAGAGGTGATTGGCAGCAGCTCCAACCTAACCAGCGAACTCTGTAGTTTTTTAAGTTTTATTGTGGTCTATAGCTGTTGAGCTCTGTTAACAGTTTGTTGTTGTTCTGGTTAATGATGAGTAAGTATTGTTGACTTATTGTAAGCATGAGGAGGGTATGAGCGGTACGTCAGGGGGCCACATTCCATGCTGGTAATGTGGTGAATGGCATATGGTTGTGGAGCTCTGTGTGTGTTCGGAAGGGGCTTGTTAGGTGTCAGGGGGACCTCCAGTGCTTTGAGCCGAGTGTGAGAATAGTTGTTTTGCCATTTATAGTGTGGCCTGGTCTTGTTGTTGTTTTTTTTCTGTTGTTGGCCGTTTAGCTAGTTCTGTGCCGTGTTGTGCTGTGGCTTATGGCCTAAACGACGCTGGTCGTTGGCTCTGCCGATGCTCCGATGATGGTAGTTAGTTGGCTGTTTCTGCTGCTGCTGGTGGTGGTGTTATTGACATCAAGCTAAGCTCAGCATTTATTATTTTTGTTGTTGTTCGCATTGTTGTTGTTGTAGTTTTTGCTGGTTTTTGTGAATTCAAGATCATCATCATGAATACATTTCAGAGTCCATTGACTTTTTGGCAGTCATTCTTCGAAGTTCGTCATGAAGTGAGGTAGGAGGGTATGGAGAGGTGTGTGGCGGTGTGGGGAGTGCGAAGGGGGCTTTTTCGGCAAAATAATTAATGTTTTGTTTTTTTTTTTGTCGATTGCTTGTTCTGTTCTGTTCGGTTGTTTTTTTCTCTAAATTATTTTTTTTTTTCGTTAACTGTTCTCCTCTATGCTAAGCTGGGGCCGTTTTCTGGCCATAGTTTTTGGTTCTCTTGATGATGATGTAGCTAAATTTTGTTTTTTGGTTGGGATCATTAAAACATAATTCTTAGTTCTGTTTAGATTCTCTCCCCTGTCTTGTACTTTTGCAAAGAAAGGAAATCCCTTCCTCCTCTCCAATCCAAAGCAATGACCTCTTGACAATAAGCAATGGAAAAAAATAGAACCCGTTGACTGTTGTTACCCGGTTGTTGACGTTCTTGGCTATTTGACTTTCTAACTGGCCATTGTTCTATGTTAACCCACACACACACAGACACGTTCACTCACTTCGCAAATTATCTCAACTAGTAGTTCAACACTACCGCCTCCCTTTCTTCGGATACCTTTCACCAACCAACTTCATGATGAAATGGGCTCACTGAACCTGTGTTCCACTTCGTTGACGTTAATATTCCCGCCACGATATTAGATGGCATAACAAATTTCAGAATACCAATAAAAAACATTCCATAACAAGCAATTCATTAATGAAATTGATTTTTGAAAAAATTGGCAATGACCTAAATTCAGGAAAAAATCAGAGCTAACATTTTTGTAACAATTTTTCAAGGGTCTACAATAGGTGTGGATTTTTAAATAATTTTTTCCAGCACCCACATTAGCTGGCTTCTTACAGAACGGTTGTCCCATAAGCCGAGCTTAAAAAAGATTTCCAAGCCTCTTCGGTCTTGTGTGCATCACCTCCAAATTGAAAGACCACGTTTCAAGATGTTGTTTTTCTACTTGGACTTTCCATCTGATTCGTGGCCTTCACCTTCTACGGGAATCAGCAGTAGGCTCGCTTTTATATGCCTTTTGAGCTGTGGCATTCTCATTCATTCGCACAACATGGCCTAGACATCGTAGTCGCTGCAGCTCAATTCTCGACTGGCTATATCGATGTCCGTGTATAAATTGTAAAGCTCGTGGTTCATTCGACGCCGATATTCAACGTCGACGCAAATCGGCCCGTAAATCTTTTGGAGCATTTTTCTTTCAAACACCCCAAGAGCTGCCTCATCGGCTTGCACAAGTACCCATGCTTCAGATCCATATAACAGCACGGGTAGTATCAGCGTCTTATAGAGTGTGAGTTTGGTCTGGCGGGAGGTAGCCTTGTTTCTAAACTGCCTATTTAGACCAAAGTGGCATCTGTTGGCCATCACAATTCTTCTCCGAATTTCAAAACTGATGGCATTCGTTTTATTCGTATGGCGGTATCTGAAAGTGTTTTATGCGAGTACCTGCCCATAGGCCTACATCGCAGGTGCTGAGCCACAGGCGGATATGCGAACACCAGCACCAAAGTGCTGTACCAATTGGAGAGCATGCAGAAGGCATACTCTCCCCCTTGATGAGGGGCGAAACCACAACCCCCGCGAAGCTCCCCAGGGGGCCACACCAACTGTCAGGCTGGATCGACAGATCCAGGGGCACCTGACACCCGCGGTACGGAAAACCTCCGCTCAGGCTCGAGACCAAAGTCTCTCCCAGTTCGACACAAGTCCGGGCTGGTATCCCAAAATAAAAATAAAACCGGCAACGGCAGCAAATAACCGCAAGGCTGGATCGACAGATCCAGGGGCACCTGACACCCGCGGTACGGAAAACCTTCGCTCAGGCTTGAGACCGAAGCCTCTCCCAGTTCGACACAAGTCCGGGCTGGTATCCCAAAACAAAAATAACAACGACAATGTCAGCAAATAACCGCAAGGCTGGATCGACAGATCCAGGGGCACCTGACACCCGCGGTACGGAAAACCTTCGCTCAGGCTCTAGACCGAAGCCTCTCCCAGTTCGACACAAGTCCGGGCTGGTATCCCAAAACAAAAATAATAAAATAAACCGCAAGTGACAAGGAAGACCATGCCACAGGCAGTGGCGACGATGAACAAATGCACACAGCACAAACAATTAACATGCCGTCTTCACGGACTGCAGAAAGGGCCCAAGGACCGCGGCAACGGATATCACAAGACAAACAATCAACGAAACTGCGCTCACGGGCAGCCTACACGACATCCACAACCGCAGAAGTGACTTCCGCGAAGTAGAGACACCGCGAACCTCCCACGATGCGGAACGACAGCAGAGAACAGCAGCCACAGCTCTCCAATAACAACCGCACCAAACCGCACCAACGCCAACCAGCGCACCAACCCACCACCACCTGGTGCAACCGACCAAACCCAACTGCAAGGGGGCTATGCACGAGGACCACCTCCGCTAAGTACTGTCCTTCTCCTAAATGCTTCCAAGGTCCACACAAAGCGTTGATTTTTTAAATAATTTTTTCCAAGGTCCACACAAGGCGTGGATTTTTTAAATAATTTTTTCCAAGGTCCACACAAGGTGTGGATTTTTTAAATAATTTTTTCCAAGGTCCACACAAGGTGTGGATTTTTTAAATAAATTTTTCCAAGGTCCACACAAGGCGCGGATTTTTTAAATAATTTTTTCCAAGGTCCACACAAGGCGCGGATTTTTTAAATAATTTTTTCAGGGGTCTCCAAAAAAATAATGTTTGCTATATTAATAATTATTTATCACCCCCATAAGACACATGTTATTGGCAGCTAATTCCGCAGCCTCTCACCTGACCAGAAGCTTTTGACCTCTGCTCTCTCTCCCCAGTTTTTTTTTTGTGTGTGCCTCAATACGAAAATTTGGCACAAAAGATTAAAGACCTCATATATCAACTTACCTCATAGAGCTCAGCTCAGCAACAATTAGCTCATTATGGCATATCACACACACACACACACACCTGTGTATGTGTGCATGTGTGTGTCTTGGCCTATTGTCTGTTTGGCCATTAACTTAGGTTTCCGTTAGCTGCCCCTTTTTTTGGTTCGGAATAGAAGACAATTAGGTGTTCTATTATTAAATACAAGATATATTGTGATCGGGTGGGGGCAAGGGTCTGCCATGGTTTTGACATAAACCAAAGTCGCCGTCCGCAAGCTGGGGATATGTGCCCACAAAAAAACCGGATTATTTTTTTCGCTTTGCTGAAAGTAAAAAAAAATAAAATATTGAAATTAAAAAAAAATTTGTTATCGCAAACACTTTTCTACAACTACATAAATATATACATACATGTATGTATATATGTATATATGTATGTGTATATAAAAATTATGTATAAAAAAATTAACTTTTTTCTGTTGGAAATAAATTATAATTTATTATTATTAATAAAAAATAAAAGCAAACAATAAAAAAAACCTTTCGCCACATTGGGAATGATTCCAGTGGTCACAACCGGCTTCGCGGTTTGTTCTCGATAAAGAACAAAAATGAACAACACCAACAAATCATAGTTTATATAATCCACAGTAGCATATGCTCAGAGACACTGCGGGTGATTTAAATAGGTACCACATTTTTTTAAATAATTTTTTCAAGGGTCTACACAAGGCGTGGATTTTTTAAATAATTTTTTTCGAGACCTATACAAGGCGTGGGTTTTTTAAATAATTTTTTTCGAGACCTATACAAGGCGTGGATTTTTTAAATAATTTTTTTCGAGACCTATACAAGGCGTGGATTTTTTAAATAATTTTTTTCGAGACCTATACAAGGCGTGGATTTTTTAAATAATTTTTTTCGAGACCTATACAAGGCGTGGATTTTTTAAATAATTTTTTTCGAGACCTATACAAGGCGTGGATTTTTTAAATAATTTTTTTCGAGACCTATACAAGGCGTGGATTTTTTAAATAATTTTTTTCGAGACCTATACAAGGCGTGGATTTTTTAAATAATTTTTTTCGAGACCTATACAAGGCGTGGATTTTTTAAATAATTTTTTTCGAGACCTATACAAGGCGTGGATTTTTTAAATAATTTTTTTCGAGACCTATACAAGGCGTGGATTTTTTAAATAATTTTTTTCGAGACCTATACAAGGCGTGGATTTTTTAAATAATTTTTTTCGAGACCTATACAAGGCGTGGATTTTTTAAATAATTTTTTTCGAGACCTATACAAGGCGTGGATTTTTTAAATAATTTTTTTCGAGACCTATACAAGGCGTGGATTTTTTAAATAATTTTTTTCGAGACCTATACAAGGCGTGGATTTTTTAAATAATTTTTTTCGAGACCTATACAAGGCGTGGATTTTTTAAATAATT